ATGACACTTATAGATAAAATTAATTCATGTGTATTTTGAGCTAATTAAATATCTGGTCTGGACTGTTCAGGTCAGCTGACCGCCTCCCAGTCTCAGTTAGCAGTTCAAGATGGAAAAGGGGATATCAGCAGAGATAACAGCTCTGTGGACTTCAGCAAGGTATGGTACACAATTTATACAGGTGCAGGCATAGTGTGTGTAGTATATGTGCAAAAGCCTAAAAGGTATATATATTGCTCTATGTATGCTATATACAATACATTTATATAAAGAAATGCCAATTCTTCAAAATATTATACATTTTCATATGTAGACTACTCAACATATAAAGAATAAAAACACACATTAGTGTGCCAGTAAAATGTTTGCATCATAAATGTATTTAATGCTTGAAATAGTAATTGCAAATAACAATGACAATAAAAATAACAATAAAAAGATACTTCTTGGAAATCCAGTATGAATATAAGCATACATAACACTATCAGATATGAGAAAAAGAGTGTGTCATACCAGACTCTGAGCAGACTATTACTTTATTGTGTGTCATTGTTGGCATTTTAATGGAAAGGTCATCTAGTAAGGGATTAGGATTATAACCCTGTTAAGTATATAAAAAAAGACTGTCACCACAGATAATAACCACAACCACACACACCAATGATCGAAATAAAATCCTCACTGAAACCATTTGCATAATGTTTATGAGTTTAGCCTGTTGTCTAGGTCAGTGAATTAACTGCTTCATGTGCTTTGCCAGGAGCACTGGGACAGTTATAAAATGCACTGTGCTTTTATAATGGTTGAGATAAACAAACAAAAATCATTCACAGTAGAATTTTTCTTATAAAATAATACACATATGTTTTCCAACTGCAGGTTATAATTTACTTTAAATACAAAGAATAATTATTTCTCTAGTATAAAACTTCTAAAAATTCTCAATATTGCACTATTTTTGAAAGTCAACACATATAGAAATAGGAATTTGTTTGGTATCTGAATGGTTGCAGCACATGCATTACTGTGTATGTTGTGAATATTATTTGCGTTGGCACTAGCAACTGCCCAGTAATACAGAAAAAGTAAAAAAAACTAACTAACTAAAAATACAAACTACCAACAACAAAGGATAAAGCGACTGAAAGAGGATTATTTTTATCATCAGGAGCAGGTTTTATATGCTATTAGGCATCTTATTTGCTTGGAAATGAAAAATAACCTAGCCTTATGAGTTATTATGCAACAAATCAAAGTAATATTTGTTTTTTTAACACTGTTTTGTTATATTTCATTCACTCACCTGCAACTAATTTGACTGTTATGTCCTCTGACACATAAATCCTGGGCAATTTCAATGCATTTAGTCTGAATGTCATTTAATATCTTACATTTGGGGCTTATTGTGAAGGTAAGGTGTAAAAGATAATTACTTAAATGCAAAAACTGCTATGTGGTGCCACTATTTTAAACCATTCTTATTGTGAGACCTGTTTGGATGTTATGCTAACCATGAAGGATATTATTAAGCACTGTTCTTTGTGGCCTTTTTCAGATAGACATTCATTTCATGAAGAAGATCCCACCGGGAGCGGAGGCCTGCAATGTGTTAGTTGGCGAGCTGGAATTCCTGAACAAGCCAGTGGTGGCGTTTGTCCGCCTTTCACCGGCGGTTCTGCTCAACGGACTGGCTGAAGTCCCGATTGCCACAAGGTCACTACAGTATGATGTGCCTAAACTAGGTCGAGATCACAGAAAGAAGTCAGCCACATTTGATTTGACAAATCAAATTAAAATGATGTGATTTTGCCTCTAGGTTTCTATTCATTCTCCTGGGTCCCTTGGGTAGAGGGCCTCAGTATCATGAGATTGGGAGATCTATTGCAACACTGATGACAGATGAGGTAAGAATTCACTAAGGGAGAAATATTACCAAGTTGTCATTCTGAAGGGAGTATTTATTCATTACTGTTTTGAAGAAGTGGGTAGATTGGTGTAAATGTCAGTCAGATGTCATACTCAGACTTTCTGCAGGCACTTTGCATAAATTCACAGCCCAGCAGAACTCACCAAATTTCAAAAGTGATGGAACATTTCTCAGCGTGAAGTACAGCTCAGAGCTTTAATGACATGCTCTTGGTGATTACTCAGCCCCTGTGCTCTCCTTTTCTGTCTGGATCTTATGCTGTCATCCACCATAACTGTGGAAAAGAGAAAGTCTGAACTTAATTACAAACACACTGTTTGGAATAAGCGTAAATGAGTCAGTTAAATTTAGTTTGTGCAGCACCTGTCAGGTAATCCAAAGGTGAAGCTGCTGTAAACCGTCCCTAAGTGTAAATCCTCTTTTAACAGATATAAAAAGTGATGGCTGTTGTTCAGAGAGTGTTGCATATACACTGCACCACACTGATATAGTGCATATAAACATATGTCTCTGCTTGCAGGTTTTCCATGATGTTGCCTATAAAGCTAAAGATCGAAATGATATAATTGCTGGTATCGATGAATTCCTTGATCAAGTGACAGTCCTGCCTCCTGGGGAATGGGACCCGTCTATACGGATAGAGCCACCAAAAAATGTACCTTCTCAGGTCAGTAGGAATTTTATTAATCAGTTGCTGATTTTTTAAATTCAGTCAAATTCAGGAACTCTTTAATATTTGATAAAACTGCGCATCTGTAGTGAGAACAAGATTATTATTTCCACTAACAATACTTTCTATGCAGATCATTCCAAGAATCCATGCAAAACTGAGCCTTCATTCAATAATTGTTTTATAAGTTACAGGCTCTCGAATTATACAGACTGGATCAAAAAATTTGCCTATATTTTCTATCCTAAGTTCTTAATTGCAGGAGAAATTCACATAGAAATTCCAGGGCTGGAAAACATATTCAAGCTCTGTTAAAAACTCCATGAAAACCAATTTTACACTCGCTTAGAGTTTCTAAATATAAAGACAATATTGTTGTTTTTTCATAGTTGCTTATAGTTTTTAGATTTTCTGAAACAGTCACCATGTGATGGGTCTCTTTTTTAGTCTAAAATTTGACACCAGGCCTATCCTAGTGCCATTAGAAAACTATGGGATTTTAGGTTGGAGAAACTGAAGTCAAATTATTTTTGACTGAATGATCCATTTGGCATTATGGCTCTGTGCTGGGACATCCCCATCCATCCAGGAAGAACAGCTGCAAGACGCCAGCACAGATAGAGAGCAAGCATCAGTGATGACAGATATGACATTGATTAAGCCAGACAGAACAAGAAGGGTTTGCAGATGCACAGCCACTGTGAGCAGGTTAAAGCAGCTTAGATAGTGCACCATACATGAGATTTATCATTTGAATGTATAGAAGAGTATCACGTAAGGCATGAGCTGATTGTGTGCTGGGATTGCGGCTGAGCTTGACTTTTGACCTGCTTAAACTAATGCTATGCATCATTTGTGCCTTGTTTGTTAAACAGGAGAAAAGAAAGAAAAGTAACATTTTACCAAATGGATTAGTTGAGGGGGAAGAAGAAGAAGAGCACGATGCTCATGGCAGCCCAGAACTGCAGCGTACTGGGAAGTGAGTCACTTTGTGCAGAACATTGGGGGGGTCAAGATCTCTGTCTAAATAAGTAAATAGATATGGATAAATTTCCAGATGATTAAACATGCAACCATTTTGCTGGTAATACCTGAAACGAGTAAAGAAAATCAACAGCCTATTTATGCAAGATTATTCATAATTTTATTGGG